AAGAACAGACGAGGGGGCAGTCTGCCCCTCCTTCCTCCTATTTTCAGACAGCCAGTACTCCCAGCAAAAGTAACACAGAATTTAATTGCCGTAAATTGACTCGGCAGTTTATGCAAGTCTCTGGAGCGACAAAGCACGTTTTTGCAGATTTATTAATGAAACACTGCTTTTTATGACTTGGAAGACTAGTTTGACGATCTCAGTAGTTTTTGGCTTTAAAATGGAGAGTTGTCTCCTGCCGGTTTTTCTTTTTTGTGTTCGGTTTTTGTGGGGTCTTTTTACACGTAACTTTCTGTAACTCCGAACCAGCTCGGTTCTGATTCAGGTGGCCTTATGGACTTGTACGTCACTTTTAGACAGCAAAAAGACATTTCTAAGCAATCCGTTACTTAAATTAAACCTCAGCTGATATTTCGTCTCACGAAAACGACTTAGTTTTTAACACTAGGTTGGAAAATATGCTGCTAGGATGTAAACCTACTAAAAGAAGAMGACCACAAATTAGAGTCTTCAATGAGGACCCTGTGGAATGAGAAGAGTATTGTTGGGAAACTTGTACCAGTCTGAAGTGGGTTTGGGGGATGTATAGAGGTATATACGTAGATAGAGGAGTAAATAAAAGAGTGGGAAGAGGAAACTATGGACAAGTGCTATTATGAGGAATATTTTTATGTTTAATTTCTGGGGTTGGGATGTTAGAAATATCCTGCTGTGATTAAAGATGTTCGATACTTTTAAATGAAGAGCAGTTTTCATGTTGTTTGCATATTGTTTTGTGTTGACGTAAGTTTTATGTCAAATGAGGGTATTGCAGGAAATTTTTGACTGATTAGCTGAATTTTAGATAGTCTTATAACCAATGTACAATCAGTTTATTTTTATATTTTGATTGAGTTGTTGTGAGAACAGCAAATTCTGAGGAATTACATAGTTAAATGCCTCGATTCCTTGTTAAACTGTCAGGCGTAGTGAGGTTTCCTCCTTGACTGTCATTTTCAGGAAGTGTGACTCAGATATAGACACTATTAAAAGGCACTGTGTTGTGATGAACAAAAAATAACACAGAAGATTTGAGCATAACCAGCAGCTGTAGAGAGAGGTTATCRTTTTATTTGGTGCCGATTAGGTTCAGGGTCACACACAGACAGTGACTCTGAGCATGAATGGGGTTTTTAGATCTGAAGAATAAAGCTTTTAAAACTGGGATCTAACTTGTTTTTTTGGGCATCCAATTTTTGAACTTTTTCTTACAATTTCTTTCAGCAAAATCCAAGTCTGGGACAGATGAAACAAATGGCACACAACCAGGCATACTCTGCAATGCAGGTCACACCGGTTTGTCTATTTTTGTGGTTTTCTTAAATTTGTCTTCACACCATATGTCAGATTATTTTATACATCAACACATAACTACCGTAATCTTTCATGTATCTATACTAATAAAGCTGTGTCTCCTCCTGACTTGTTTTAATGATCWCCTTTGTTCTGAACATATCTCAGGGCTATACCCCGTATGTACCCATTCAGCAGCATCCTTCCCAAGCTGGTGGTTTAGGCTCCTCCTCGTATGTAAACCAGAACTTTCAGACCACCCATCCTGTACCCAACCCAGCTGTGGTGGATCCTCTGAGGCAAATGCAGCAGAGGCCCAGTGGTTACATTCACCAGCAGGCTCCAGGCTATGCACACAATATGCAGAACACGCCAAGGTCAGCGTTTTAAGCAGAGGGGCTGCTTTATTTCTTAAAAGCACTTTACTGTTCCTTACCAGAACGCCTAATTTGATGAATCTGTCTTAGTTTTGCTCTTTTTTATGTTTATTTCGTCTTTTAACCTTTAGGTTTGCCCACCAGCCCCTCAATCCCAACCCTGTCATTCACGGTATGTCAGGTGTCAGTCACATTGCATCCCAGGGTGTCTATCCAGGCTTGAGGTCCAATCAGATGCTGGCAGATCAACAACAACAACAGCAGCAGCAACAACAACAACAACAGCAACAACAACAGCAACAACAGCAGCAGCAGCAGCAACAAGCACAGCAACAGCATTTTTACCTCAGACACGCATCACTCAGAGTATGTAACTGATCATCCATGTGCACAAGTCTGATTGGATTTAGTTTGTTTATTAAGTGAAAGATAAACCAGAAAATGAAACAGAACCCTGGAAGCCGAAGTGGTTTGTTAGTAGTCCTCTCTGCTGAAGTTTTGGGAGTTTAAGTACTAACATCTTAAAAGATTTTCTGCTTAAAGGCACAGTGTGTAGGATGTGTTGTTTTCAGCGACATCTAGTGGTTGAGTGGTTGAATCATCCTCCCTGGTCCCCCCCCCATACCCAATCCCCGCTTCCAAATGCAAAGGAGTTGCTACGGTGTCTCTCAGGTGTCAAAAACCTTTGATAATTCCAAYCGCGATGTCTACCAGCAGCTTCAGGGCTAGTGATGTTTCAAGTGGTAAGATTATGAGCTTTAATAAGTAAAATTATCCCAGCTACACTGACAGACAACAAATATTACATTTATAGTATAACAACTAAAACTGTTTTTGACGCCGCCACCGCAGTTTGTCCTTCATGAGCCTTCGTAGACAAGATGGCGGCTGACTGTAGTGGCGACCCATGACCATGGAGATATAAAAAGCTTTTTATAAGGTAAAAATAATCAAACAAGGTCTTTGTCTGCAATGATTAGACATGTTTTTTATTATTGTCATTAGTGATTATCTAAATTTCGGCTAAAAGAATTGACAACATCTTACACACTGTGCCTTTAAGATTTTCAAACAGACGTAGGAGTAGACATTTGTCGAAACTTTTTAAAGATAGATTGCATGACTGCAAGACTTAGAAAATTAATATGTATATTTTCTTATCAGTTATTTGCCATAGAAACCCACAGAACCCTACTTAAAAGCTTGAATGATGAGTTAATGAAGCCAAAATGGTTCCAGAATGAAGGCAGGTGGACAAGAACACAATTAAAGACCCAAAGGACCATCAATCAAATTAAGTTACCAAAAACGATCTGCTTCATCCACTCTGAGACCTCCTTGCTGCCATTTTTAACCGAATTAGGAAGGCTAAATTGATTCTTACAAGGCTAACGAGTTTGGCAGGTAAAAGTTTAATCTCATGTAAAGATTAAAGTTTAGTCTGCAGAGGATTCTGACGGACATCAGACTGAAGAAGCTCACGTTTTTTGTCAAATGGTCTTTTTTTTAAATCTGCTGACACTGGTTTTATTTCTCCTCATGGCAACAACAGGCTCAAGTTCAGCAGCAGCAGCAGGTCCAGCAGCAGGTCCAACAGCAGGTCCAGCAGCAGCAGGTCCAACAGCAGCAGCAACAGGTCCAGCAGCAGCAGGTTCCTCCTCAACAGCAGGTCCCACAGCAGCAACAGCAGCAGGTTTCGACTGTGCCCCCTCCAGGACAAACACAGAACCAGGGCCTGAACATGCAGCCACTGCCCCCCCAGCAACCCATGGTGAGTCGGAGCCAGAAGATGGACTTTATAGATCTGCAGAGGTGCCAACCTGGAGCCATCCCAAATAATAATCATCTCGTCGCGCATTCCTTATTGGCAGTTTGTGCTCATATTTATCATCAAATAAAACCAAATAATAGAAATATATGGAATTTATATCTTTAAACTTCAAAGTACTCATATAGACTTACTTATTTCTAGATGGAGAGATTATAAGTAACAATTGATAAAACAGTTTATAAAATGGGTGTTTATTGACATAACTTTGCTAAACAGTACTTAGATCTATCGTATGACATCTCAATGGCAGACATGCAATGAGCTCAATAATTAACAATAACTTGCTTTATACACACACACACACACATTTTTTAACATCATTCTGTTCGCATTGTTGACATTTTCTGCACTTCTTGCAATGACCTGCTGGTCGCACTTTTTTACCCCGCTCCGCTTAAGAACACAAGAACTTTATTGTGTGATTGGTCTGAAGTTCGTGGAAGTGTTTTGTTTTTTCTGCTGAAAGCGCTCAGACATTGCATTTTGCTTCAACCACTCGCTTAAAAAAAAAAAAGACTTGCTTCCAGAGTTGTACCAGGAAGCAGCACTTTGTAAAGATAGTCAAATGGCCAAAAACAGACATTTTTCACATTAGAGCTTAATCTGGGACCAGTTTGTGGATAAACGTTTAGTGACGAGTCTCTGACTTCTTTTTCTAGTATGCCGTAATGGTTCAGAGCGGGTTGCGATATCGTAATGATTACGGTGAGATTGTCATGTTTGGCACCTCTGGATATTTGGGGTATATTAAAGTAGGGATGAGAGTTATCAATTAATGAATGAATATTGAGTATATGTATATATGTATTTGAAGAAATCAACACAAGAAATGTTTGAAATAAATGTTTAAAAGCCTCTGTTAGCACCACTATGTATACGCTTCATAACATCATGCACACCTTTTGTTTTTAGTTTCCCCGACAGGGAATGCAGCAGACTCAGCAGCAGCAACAAACTGCAGCTCTGGTCAGGCAGCTGCAACAACAACTTTCAAGTAAGTCAAAACTCTTTTTTTTCTATCAATAATTTCAGGGTTCAGACCTTTTAAATAACCTTTCCTTCCTTTTTCAGACACACAACCAGGACAGGGCACCACTCCTTATTATTAATTGTATTTGTTTATAATTTTATGGGAAGCCATTTGTCTGTAGATTATGTTGACAGATGAAGAGGAAAGWTGTAAAGGACCACCAGACAGCGATCACGATGATGAACCTAATCCAACCATGACCATGAAGGCAACAAATAAAATACTAAGACTTCAGATGTGTAATTGTGGAATATTAGATGGACCCTAATTTGAAGTAAACATTTAWTGGTTAATCTTGGAAAAGGTATGTTTAAAAAAAGACATAAGAATGCTTTGTTTTGTTTCCGATTTGTACATTTTTTTCCCAGTTTTGTGTATTTGTCATTAAAAAAATCATGTCAGTTTTTAATGTCTTGTGTGGACTGCCTGTGAAGGAAAGCAGTGAACTTTTTGTTTGTCTTCAGTCCTGGGAAATGCACGGTGAGTTTGTAATAACAGATGGGAAACCTTTACTGTCATGTCTGCTTTATTTTGAACTTAGGATGACAGTTTTACCATCAAACAAATCTGAGCTTGACTCAAGTAAAATGTTAAAAAGAAAAAGGCTCTTTATTCTAATGTACTGAAATATTTTGATGAAGCAGATTTTTCCTGTTTGTAACATTTCTATCAGTTACAAGACTTCTCAACACGTGACCTTTTTATGGCAAACGTTTTGATGAAAATATCGAATGTTATTTCAGATTTGCAGCTCTTTTTGGTTTTTCCGGCCCTTGTTTATCACTACTTTGAGTTTCCAAGCGTCTAAAAAGCACTCCGTTGTCAGGTCCCAGTGGTCTCCCTTCGAAGGGGCAATCCATGCCCCAAWGCTTCGGCAGGAAGTTCAGAGTTTTCCAGCTCCTCTCATCTGGTCGCACCCCGAGTCTAGTGAGCAGCTTATCAGAAATGTCTGGCACCACTGGCTGGAGGAGAGTCCCATAAATTCGCAGACATTCAAAAGACACGTGGATGAGGGTGTCTAGCCAACGCTGGTCTTTACTATCCTCTACATCCAGCTTCCAAGGTTTGTGGCGCTGAACGAACCCGTTGGTTTGTCTCACGCAGGTAATGATCGCCTCCAAGGCTTTATATGCGTGCATGCTCTCGTAGTGCAGTTCCACCACAGCTGGAAGACCTTTCACCGCAGCCAACATGTGATGGTCCTCGGCCACCGCTCTGCCTTCGTGGTCRTCGGAAAAGGACCGAGAGCAGAAGGAGGGGTAGACCTGAGCYGGGTTCAGAGCTGGAGCTGTGCAGCGGTTCAGTAAACCGCCTAAAGTGTTGGCGAGCTCCGCRTTGAGCAGCTTCGTAACTTTGTCCTGTTTGTAATCGCAGTCCGAGTCTGGGACCCCTTGACGCAGCAGGAAGTACCTCATCCCATCATTTGTAAATTTCTCYGAGTGTTCAAGTGGATCTATGACATTACCCAAACTTTTAGACATCTTCTTTCCTCCTACAGTCCAGTGCGAGTGTACATATATGACCTGCGGCAGTGGGAGTCCAGCTCCTAGGAGGAAAGCTGGCCAGTAGATGGCGTGGAATTTTAAAATGTCTTTTCCAATAACGTGACGAGCCACGTGCCACCATTGGTCGTGTTTATGTGGATAGCCAACAACCGTGAGGTAATTCACGAGAGCGTCAAGCCATACGTAGATGGTTTGTTCAGCGTCTCCTGGCACTGGGATGCCCCACTGGAGACGACTTCTCTGACGGGACACYGAGAGGTCGGGCAGGTCTTCCTGCAGCCACTGAACAACAGTCTGGTGGAAGCGCTCGGGCTGGACCGCCYTGGGGTTTTCTCTTAACCAGTTAATCAGCTGCGACCGGAACTCGGACAGTCTGAACATGTAGTTCTCCTCTTTCATCCACTCCACCTGCAAACGAGATGAACAGAAGTAGTTAAACTTCTTGGTTTATGAACCAAACCCACCAAAAATCACAACTTCTCATTTTTATACTGTACTGTTTCAGTGGATTAAACTGAGCAGTCCAGTTTCTTTGTCTCACGTTCATTATTATTTTTAAAAATGTTAGMTATGCTTTTTCAGTGGTACTCTATTTCTATCCCTTCCTTAAAAAGGCAGTCTCAGTTCTGAAGTACAGAAAGAGGTCTGYGAAAAAATAAAGAAAAAGAACGACTAAAAGAAGTCCAGTATGACCTCCAAACAATTCAGGTGCTTAGCTGGTACTAAAAAAAAAAAAGCCCAAACCACAGGGAAGAGATGATCTACTAAAGCCTTGTTGCAATATATCTAAAATGTTTTTTTTTTTTTTGTCTACAGCACTGGCAGGTTAGTAGTGTTTGCAAAAGAGGGACATGGTCTTAGGATAAGGATATGGTCACACTGACAGGTGTATTACTCCTGGTAGAGGGGGGACTTACATTGTTGTACTAAACAAATTTTACAGAATGTTATGTAGCAAAACTGTTCGAAACCAAAACTGAATAACAAAATTGAAACTGTGGGGGGAAAAAAGGTTAAAAACTACTTGTCAGATTACACCCCCCCCTCCCCCAACCCAAAAAAAAAAAAAAAAACTCCTGGTCCTGTTTTGGATAATTAATCCATCATTATATTTTTTTACACTGAGATTTGTGTGGTGTGTTGACAAACACCTTTTATCAGTTAAGCATATTGTATCATATGATTAAAACTGTTTGGCAGGCAGTTGCATCATATAAAAGTATGGCAAGCCTGTGTACCATATATATTAAATACATGGAATTCTGTTGTATTATAACTAACCATATATGACAGGTTGTTGTATCATATAATTAATAACATGGCAAGCCATTGTATCATATAATCAAAAATACAATAACTTTTGTATTCTATATGGCAAGCCATTGTATCATATAATCAAAAATACAAAAACGTTTGTATTCTGTTTACTCTGTATAGCAATAACATGCTTCACTGGTGCTCATGTCAACAAACAACACAAATTTCGGAGAAAATTTAATATAAAAAGAATATTAACGATGTTCTAAAAAGACATTTCCTGTTTCCACGTTTCCTGAATGCAACACCTAGGAATATTTTGTCCACCTGCTGTGTTGAATACACCCCTTCATCTGAGGCCCCGCCCCCACACCAAGACATGACCAGAAGTTTGAAACTGCAAAAAATTCTGAAACTGGCAAAAAAGAAATAAAAAAATAAAGAATCTGACAAGTAGCTTTGAAAGTTGTTTAAAATCTTTTTTCAGTTTTATTTTTTTTCTTTCAGTTGCAAAAAAAAAAGTATAGATTGTCTTCTCAATCTCAGTTACCTTGTGTCCACTCTCCAGTGACACTTTGATCTCCGTCCCTGACGAGTCCTGAGCTTCACCGACCTGCGACGGCAGGAGGAAGTTTTCATCCTGCGTGGAGTACCAGCCTTCATAAACCCCTTTGTAGATGAGTCCTTTGTTCCAGAGCACTGACCAGAAATGCTCCACGACCTGGCGATGCCTCTGCTCGGTGGTTCTGATGTAGTCCGTAAATGAAATGTTGCAGCTGTTGAAAAGATGTCTGAATCGCTCAGACACATCAGTGCAGAAAGTGAGTGGATCTTTGCCTGCAGCTTCAGCTGCTTGCTGGATTTTCAAACCATGTTCATCTGTTCCTGAGATTAAAAAAAATATATAGATTAAAAAAAAGTTTCTAAAGTAAACAAACTAATAAATGACTGGGTGCCAAATATGGTAAAATGGGGCTTGCCCTCACTCTAAGCAGCTCCATRAATAATTTGATGTTAAGTTGCCCATCCCTGTGGTAAAGTATTTCTGAGTATTATTTTTTTAATGTGACAAAAAAAAGTTTAAAAAAAAAACCCTTTAACAGTCCTGGTTCTGTCATGGACATCACTGCTCAGTTCATCGTGCCATCTTTAAACTCCATGCCAAAGTGAACAGAGCAGCAAGATAATGATAAATAAATAGTGATTAGCTGTAGCATTTTGGATGTCACATTGAAACAGGTAAGAAAAGCCAAAAGTGAAAGCGCCTTTAATGAATGATGGACCTACCTGTAGCAAACCTGGAGTCACTTCCCTGAAGGCGTTTGGACCTGTGTAAACAGTCAGCTATGACAGCTGAATACAGGTGTCCGAGATGAGGAGAAGCATTGACATAGAAGATGGGAGTTGTTATGTAGAAACTATTGCTCTCTTCGCACAGCTGGGTGATGCTGCTGCTGCATCTCAAAGCAGTGTTGTTCTGTCTTGGAAACGTCGATAAAAACTCTTTTTGCTGAAGTCTATAAAAAGTCCTGATTCTGGTGATAAAACAAAAAGGGAGCTTCATTGTCTGACAGAAGGAGACACCTACAGGAGAGCAGACAAGTCCCGACGTTTCTTGGTGAAGATGGAGTTGAGCAGCACCAACGGAATATGGAAAAAGAGCTACTTAAAATGTAGCAGTGAAATGTTTTTAAAGCAAATTGGACAAAACTATTTGATACAAAGCTATTTACGTAACCGAACCGTCCATGTGAGTGTTGCTTGCTCCTCAAGGTTAGCATTTGTTCCGGTTCCTGTGTACGAAAAGTATTCATCCAATCAAAATGCGAGAAAACGCCACGGGATACTAACAACCAATCAAATTGCAAAGATTCCTCTTGTGTCGTTTTTTTTTCCACAGAAAACTTTATTGAAACAAGACAACGAAGACAAACAAAAATGATTAGCATTTGTTTCGCGTTTACAAATAACCCAAATTTTTAGTTGTCAGACTACAGACACAATTTTACGTTTAATCACCACAAAATAGTCTATTATTAACAACTGAACTATTTAAAGAGCCATATGTAGGTTTTCCTTCCCATTCTGATTCGCTAGTAGGATAATTTATAAGAATTCTCACAATAATTAAATACGTATTATAGAATGCCAACTTTCCTAAATGTTTGCTACTTTGCAATAATAAACGTTTTTCTCAAAATGGTAAACTTTTTAGACGTGCTACACTCTTTAGGCCATTTTGTAATACGAAAAAGTGTTATCTTCTGCCTAGCCTTATAATAGCATCAAATTAAATTTGAATAATTATGTACTAAACCATCAATATTGTATTTTATCAATATTTTATAAGATGCCTTTKTCTTCTTATACCTTTTAATATATTATTTTAATGTTTTATATATCAGTTCACTGGTCACGCCTGGTTTAAATGTGTGTAAAACGTTCAGTTGTCTCAAGAGGTACTATTGATTATTCACGTTTAAAAAATAATAACAAATAAAAAATTGCCGTTTAGGGGAGTGTTAGATGTTTTAAGTTAAACTAATAGGACCTTTAAAAAGTTTGAAAACTTTAATTTCTCCAGTTTCCTCGAGACACTAACAAGGAAGTACAGATGTTCGCCAGCCAACCAATCAGCTGCTCTTCTTCCACCAGCCAGCCAATCAGTAGCTCCCGTTTCACCAGCCCAGTTTAGGTGCCACCACTCAGCCACGAATGGGGAAAACTCGACAATCAAGGTAAACATTTAGCGATTTCCAACTAAAATGAACTGTAATAAAATGTTACTACAACGAATATGATGTAGAAAAAACGTACGTGTGCTCTTCTAGGCGTGTCGCTTAAACAATATTTACCCGTCGCTGTACGGGCGGTTCGCTCATCATGTGATAACTGGGATGACTGTTGCTTGATTCGTGCAGGTTTTTTAAAGTTAGTTTGTGTAACAAGGTTTTGTTTCTCTAGATGGACGTGAACCGTTTGGACTTCTACATCGGTCTGTCTCTGGCCGTGAGCTCTAGTCTTTTTATCGGAGGGAGTTTTATCCTGAAAAAGAAAGGTCTACTGCGATTGGCCAGCAAGGGTTCGATGCGAGCAGGTGAGGTTAGACCAGGCTGTATCTAAAGAATCAGTCAGTTCTATTTTAATCCTAAGTATCTAAAAAAATGCCAAATGATATTAAAATTTTAAATTGGGCTAATATAAATCAGTCAGTTTGATCTAAAATTTGGGTGATAGTAGCTGAGTCATTCACAACACATACATGTTGGAGTTAACCTTATTTAGCAAAATATCTTCTAAACCAGTGGTTCCCAAATTTTTGTCTTCTGACCCACAAAATATCCATGGCAAAAACTTGTGACCCCAAATATTACTGGTCCGAGTACATGAGCTTCGTTGATAACCCTAAAAACACAGGCTTTTTGACAACCTAAACAGATTGTACACAAATATAAATACTTATTTTTTACTTATTTTGTGTTTTTGTAAAAATTACAGGGAAAATATTACATCAACAATTATTTTATTACCCTTTAAAATGATTTCTGGAGATTATCCAAGGTGCTTCATGACCCATAATTGGGTCCCAAG